ACGAAGACAGTGAGCCTGCTGTCGCCATCGTCCGCGCTGGTTGGTTTGGTTGGCCGTTGACGATCGATTCTGTAAGGTTCGGATGGCAGCATGGGCGGCGATTTCTGAGATTCGATCCCAGGGAAGAGCGGCTTCGGACGTGGTGGGTGCGGGAGCGCCGCGGGCACGGGGTCGGTGGCGGCAGGGAAGTTAAGAGGCGGAAGCGGGAACTCGTTCTCGAAAGACATAGTTGTTGAGGCGGACGAAGACGAGGTGAAGAGGACGAAGAGATGGCGCGATGGCGCGATGACGACGAAGACGATGGCGACGACGATGAAGAGCTCGAGGTCGAGGGTGAAGAAGGTGGTGTGCTCATGGTGTGATTGGATGGCCAGGGGGGCGTTGGGAAGGGTGGAGGAGCAGAGGGCGAGGTGTCCGTTGGCCAAACGAACGCGAAACGACCATGTTCAATGCTGGAAGGTCGGCGGAGTGTAAGTGGTGATGTTGAAGGAAGGATTGGGCGATGAAGTGAGCATGTGAGAATACAGAATGGTGTGGAGACGAAGGAACACCAAACACCGTTATGTAATGTAACGCACAGATGAACTTTTGCATCTTCGCAGCTATCAAGGGTGGTAAAGCAGATGTATTTAACACTTCACGAGGTGAGCTCCGATGTTAGGAACTGCCGCGTCAGCATGGAAGTCTGACCAAAAGGAGGGTAGGATTCGGGCTGGAATTAGGGAAGAGCTCTGTCGCAGAATTAGCCTGGATTTCATTCCTGACAAAAGAATTGGTCTGCCGAGGTCGGGAATTGTTCTGGCGGACCCGCCGGAGGTATTCGAATTGCGCTGTGGAGCCTCGGAATTGGGCTGTGCTGCGCCTGAATTGGCCTGTCCGGGTGTCGAATTAGGGAAGCACGGGAATTGTGCGACCGGGGCAGTCAAAAGAATTGCTCTGCCCGACAGTTTGTCCTACCCTCTAGACCAAAGTGTTGTACAATCCCGTAACCTAGGCTTGTTTGTGCAGCCTCTGCGAAATCTAGAATACCTACCAATATTTTAACCAGGCGCCTGCTTTTGCAATGTGACTTCATGCTTAGGTTAGGTACTACTGGTAAGGCACGGACCATTTAGAGACCTGTCAGGGAAGTGCCCCTAGCTGATGGACAGTGGTGACCTGGGATAAAGTTAACCTGTGAGCCGACCAGGAATGGAGCTGGGCCGTCGTCAATCCGGCAGATTCCGTTGGATGTTGGTGGTGGGTGCGGAACCTGAGCGATCCACAGAGAAGTTGGCTAGGGTGACTGGATGAGGGTGCCCCGAAATACCGGGGAAGGCAGCGTTTCGCAGGGTAGCTGCCACGGGTGAAGATATGGTCCCCCGTCCCACACATCATAAGTGGCCTTCCGTTTGCCGAAAGGTCGGTTCCAAGTCGATCCTGAGTCCGATTCGAATCTGCGTCATGCGAGTCCAAACAATTTTGCACAAGACATTGTCGTTGAGTGGGGCACTTTCGATGCTACTTCACTTTGAGTCCGGCAATGTATTGAACATCCATATATTGAAATGGCCCTTAGTTCGACCCCCTTGCCTTCAGGCTGGCCCGCGATCTGGGTCTCGACTTGAAGTCCACTCCCATAATAGGCCCAAAACTGAAGGTGAAGACAGGGAAGTAACAAGACAGGGAAGGCATTCGCCAACCTGCTACCTTAATGGCCCGATACATATAAAGTGTGCGAGCATAGTCCAGTGTTATGCATGTGATTGTCATTTCGACCGCAGAATTACAGCTGCGTCGGAACGGGAGGTGGCACGCTTGGATTGAGTAGTTGGGAGCAGAGGGATGCAAAGTGGTCCTAATCCAGGGGGTGGGTACCGGTCAGCAATCCTCTAATCTCAACAGGGGTGGACCACTTCTAATTCCTAATCCAGAGTGGTGGTCTAATCCATATCCTAGGGGCGGGGTTCTAATCCTAATCCTGTGGCCGGGTCCCAATCCCAATCCTGGGGGGGGGGGCCCAATCCTAATCTTGGGGCCGGACCGCAATCCTAACTCTGAGGCTGGGGTCGCAATCCTAATCCTCTTGGTCGTGTCGTAATCCTTATCGTGGAGCTGTTATCGTGTGACTGATTCGTTAAAACCTTAATTTTGGCTGGGGGCCCCAATCCTAATAGAAGGGTGCCGTGACACGGAAACACACAGTGCCATACAGGCGCGAGGCGATGGCAATGCAAGTGCGTAAAAAAAACCAATGCAAATTTAGAGCGGGTATATGATCAAACGAAGCAAAACTTGAAACATAAAAAGCAGGCTGACGAAGCTGCGCATCCTGGCCATTTCTGCAGTATCGTGCCATACGAAGAGTTTAAGCAGGGATACTGCGTCTAAACACCTTGATTCAAGCATCTGCAGATGCGACTGTGGAGCGGTCGAAGATAAAATGCACGTTGAGAGAGGTGATCCAATGGAACACCATCCACACTTGCAGCGCGCCAGAGATCTTCCATGCCATAAATACCAGGGGCTTTCACAGCTATGAAGCACAACCCAATAAGCAGGACATGCCTCGTGAAACGATGTCTACGTATGTTATTGAGCCAAAAGATGTTAACATGTGCGCATAACAATAGGCTCATTCATACAAAGCCCGAAGCCCGAGAATTAACAACAAGCAGGCAGAGCAAACACGTCCTTGGAAGGAGTAGCTGAGAGAGGTGATCCAATGGATCACCATCCACACTGGCAGCGAAGCAGAGACCTTCAATGCCATAAATACCAGGGGCTTTCGCAGCTATGAAGTACAACCCAATAAGCAGGACATGCCTCGTAACACGATGTCGACCTATGATGTTGAGCCAGTAATGTTAGCACGTGCGCATAGTAGAAAAATTATGCATAAAGTTTCCGACATTTAACCTACTAATATTTTATGAGGACGCATACCACGCGACTGCCTTTGGAAGCGTCCCTCAATGTCGTGCAGTTGGTTCCGGAGGAGGCGCGGACGCCATCCATACGTCTTCGTGTCTAGACCGTCCTCGTCAATTTTTGCAGATTGTTTTATCGCAATTTTACTGATCAGCAGACGCCTGTCAGAAGCATGGCTGGAGCTCCTGGAGCGTATGGCTTCCGTGATCAGGAGCATGAGCGCACACATCACACGCGACATCACTTAGTACGACATGGCATAGCAACTTTCTAACCCAGTCTGAACGGTAGCTGGATTCGATAGTCCTCCTACATAGCAGTATCCTAATTGCCAATCATTGCTGTGCCCTAATCTTAATCCAATACCAGTGTACTAATCGTAATCCTGGATATAGGTATTTATCCTAATCCTGGGGCCGGGTCCCAATCCTAATCCTGGGGCCGGGTCGCAATCCTAATCCTGGGGCCGGGTCCCAATCCTAATCCTACACTCGGGTCCTCATCCTAAACCTGGCCTCAACTTTGTATCCTAATCCTGCCCCTCTTTCCGAATCCTAATTCCTGCCTGACCGGTATCCGAACCCAATCCCTAATCTTTGCATCCCTCTGTTGGGAGGACAAGTAAGGGGCCAAGGTGCCGCTCGCTGAGGAGGTTGAGGGGGGAAGAGTCTGAGCACGTGATGGATTGGAGTGGATGCTGCCCTAGCCTATGATATAGCTGCAGCACCCCTCATTTTCTAGAATTACTAACCAAGGACGTGGCCACGTCAAGTACGCGGACAGAACTGCCAGTTCCAAATTGTCCCCCAACCAATTCGAACCCGCTCCTTTCGACATGTAATCGCTGCTATGCGGCGCAGTAAAGGCGGTTGAAGGTGAGAACCGTATTGAAATCATGCGTCACGGTTCTCGCACGTGTAAGCGAGGGTGCCCTGCGGGTTGCAGAAGGCCTAGGTATGTCATGATAGCCTTTAATTGTTCATACCATAACATTTTTTGTATTCTTCAACGTTCTTTAAAGTTAAAGACGCCTGATGTCATTGTGTTGCGAGACATGTTTCGTGGCGCTGGTATTTGGCATGCAAACGCCGAGAACACATGACCAAGAGATGCAATGGCAGCGACCAGACGAAGCGTGGAAGGCGATATGCATATGTTGATGCGATTTACAGACTTTATCAGCCCAATCGCTGCCAGTAGCCAGCAGGAAACCTGCTGCCATACAAGATCTGGCTGTTGACTAGATAATGCAGGAAGTTACATGTCTTTCATTGCTGCAATCAGTGATAGACATGTATTTTCGGGCACGCCTAAGGAAGGAAACAGTTCACTGGAATTTGGTGACAGGCTTGCAGCTGTCACCATTATCTGCGAATCTAACTCTCTATGTAATTGGCTAGTCACGTAACCTTCGTTGCACAAAGTAACCGGCAGACAACGGATTACAGCGCAGGATATTATCCCGTACGCAAGATGATTAGTACGACTAGCTTACCCTTCTGATGCAACATCTAGCGTGTTTGCTCCATTTGTGTTTCGATAATTTAAGGATCTTTGATTATGTTGGAGGCAGGGATTTTTATCAGCAAGCGATGCAGAGTTGGTGGTAGGTTTTGCTTACGACTTTGTTGGAGGGTCTTGACATAGATTGCGGCGCGTCATCATTACGCGGGCGCATATGCACTGAAAATTAAGACAAACGGGTTACTACGGATTATCGCCCTCGAGTATTATCTCGATAACTCGACCGCGTTTTGACAAGGTCGAGCCATAGTACACTGACATCGCTACGGAATGCAGCCCTCTCTTCAAACATGGCGCCGTCCTGTGACACAACAGGTGCGAAATTTGGAGCTGTGGATTCGCCGTCTTGTCCTTCAATACGCCTCGCTCATGCCCAATTGTTTTCGGCGCAGGTCCGGTGTCGCTGCTTGTCACGTCGGTTGCAAGGAGCAGTAAACATGTCGCAAGCTCATATTGTAGACCAACGGCCTCAGATGGGTACGTGGGATCTAGCTCAGCAAATAGCTGTTTGGCTTCGCATTTAATATAAGCAGTCCTATGCGACGTTTCTGCATGTAGATCTTAACATGTGTTCAAGTTTTACCACTCTTGCAGTCAATGTTTCGTTCAAGGTGGAGTATAAGTGCCCATATGGCCAAAGCTTAACCCTGGTCGGCGATACGGCGCCATTGGGCAATTGGTCGGCTAAAAGGGGACAACGCATGCATTGGAGCCGCGGCGACACATGGTCATGCAACGTGATGCTTCCAGCGGGGTGAGCATTCACATCCTGGGGTTGACGCAGCCATATGTTGTCTCGTCCAGCGACATGCGACATCATATATAACGAAGCTCGTGCTTTCCACTAAACTCTACGGGTCTCTTTTATTGTATGCTGGCAAACCCTCTGACGTACAAGCTGCGTTACCACGGCGTTGAGTTTGGGAGCTGCGCCCCTACCGCAGCTAGCTATGCACTCAACCTCAACATGATGCCACACCATCAACGATACCGATTCAATCTTTTCCAATTCTTCACACTCTGTAGACTGCGAACATATGCTCGCACGCAAAGTTACTGCGGATTCGCAGAGTGACTGTACTGCAATTCAGTGCCACTCCTTCGTTACAACGTTCTCGACTGCCGGCCATGCAGCGCTCAATGGATCCATTGGATCTTACATTTTCAATTTTTCGCAAGTTACAGCATACCGCACGTCACGGTTTTCACGCACGATATGGACTGAAGCGTACGAGCCGTCCATTCGTACGTTTTGCAGGTCCACAGTGGAGTGCAAGTATGTGGTCGTGGACGAGCAAGGAAAAGAGCAGCGATGGCAGGAGGGCAGCAACATGGTCGTTGAGGTCCCAACCACTTGTCAGGGTCTGCCCGTACAACGGTACGACGTAGGCATCTCGTGGTGCAAGGGCTATGGGAACTTCCGGGCTCAGCCTCTCAACGCTCCAGCTGCAGCTGCTGCGGCCGTCGCTGAACGATTGACGAAGGCCGCTACAGCCGCTGCTGCATCTCCAGATGCTGAGATGACAGCGGCAGCGGCACTGCCGAAAGGCGCCATCACTGTCGTCGCCGCTGCTCAGGCTGCCCCGGCAGCGGCAGCGGTGGCGGCGGCGCAGCCTACGCAAGATTCCTTCGCTGGCGTTGGATCCGCAACAGCTACAGCCGTCACCACGAAGCCTGCAGAAGCTGGGGCCCTAGCATCAACGATTACCGCCGGCGGCGAGCTGTCCATGACGGTATTGGAGCCGCCAGCGACTGTCAGCAGTAAAATCTCCACGCTAATCCAGGCCGCCATCAGCGTTGTACGGGTGCCTTCGTCGTCGTTGGCGGCGGCGGCGCCGCTGGCGGCAGCAGACCCGACGGCTTTTACCGCCGCCAAGTCGCTGACGTCATTCCAGCTGTCGCCGACTTCCGCCGCCGGCGAGCCGACGATGAGCATTGTACTGCCGTCCCGGTCTAAGAGTCCGCCCGTCAAGCTCAGTCTCAGCTCGAATTTCTCCAGGCTCATGGACATGACGCCAACATTGGCGCGCATCAGTAGCAGCGGCGCCGTTGCCGCCGCCAGTCTTTCGGACACTTATGCCGCCGCCGCTGGCGGTGAAAGCAGCGGCAAGGCGACGTCTTCCAACATCCAAAGTCACTATGTTGCCGACCTTGACGTGATGGCTACGACAGGCCATAGCTCAGCCTTCGATGTTGTGATGTCGCCCGGCAGCATCAGCGGAAGCGAGCGGGAGACGTCTCCCTCAACGGCCGCTTCCGGCCAACTGACGGCGGGGGCGGCGGCGGCGGCGGCGACGGCAGCAGCCCCTACCCCTGGTCCTGGCAATGCTGCCCACTTGAGCCGTAGCTGCAGTTATAGCTATGCCTTTGAAGACGGCGACCAGGACAACCGCAAGCGTTCTAACGGCGATGCGTCCGTCGCCCGACCGAATTCGTTGTGGGGCATGGAGTACGACATTTATGCATCAGCCTATGGCCTGCCGTACATGCACACGCCCTTTGATGTCCAGGCATACGCTGTGTACGATCCCGAGCCTTCATCCTCATTATCTATGTCGGCGTTGGGAATGACCCATGGGTCGTTCGACTTCCTGACGGCAAGCCAAGAGCGCGGCTCGGATCCCTTGGAGTCTGCCGTACAGGCCGCTCTGGGCTCCCCTTCTGTGCCGGCCGCTGCAACAGCCGCCACGTCTGTGTCTGTGTCTATGTCGAATTTCCTTTCAACGGACAGTCAGGGTGCTACTGCCGCTGGCACCGCGCCTGTTGTGGATGCTGCTCCAGATGCTGCTGTTGCTGCTGCTGTGGCAGCAACAGGTGCTACTGCGGTCACGGCATCGGCGGCGGCGGCGCCGCCGCCGCCGTCGAGTTCTGTCAGAGTTGCCGCTCCGGGGCCTGATGATGTCATCACAGCGGCCCCGTTGGAGACGTATCGACATATCTCCCGATCTTCGTCGACGGTCAGCGACTGGGCCGGTCGTGCACTGATCGAAATGAGCTCAGGCCGTTCGCTGATCGACGACGACGACAGCGACGAGGACGAGACAGCGGACGAGGAGGCCGCTTTCGCGCAGGCGCTGGCGGCACCGGTGGCGCCCGCCGACATGGCGGCGCTGTTGACGCAGCTAGGTACGGCACTAGGGCGCAGTGTACGGCTGCGGTACGACGGCATCGACGCGACGGCGAATGATCTCCTAGAGCTCGACCGTAAGATTGCGTTGGCGGCGTCAAAGCTTTACCGGCAGCACGACAGTGCCTTGACGGGATGGGTACGGAAGGAAACTCGACGGCAGCTGGCGGCGACGGCGGCGGCGGCGACGGCCACTAGCCGTCCACTTATGCCGAGTACGAACACCGTAACGCTTCTTTGACCCTCTGGATTGCTTCATTGTTGCTGCTGCTAGAAGGAACGGCTTAACAGCAGCACGGACGGACTCCACTCGTCTTCACAAGCAAGGCCGTTCTTAGGGGATGTCCTGCAATGCATTATGAGAATGTTGTTCTTTTGCTTTCATTGTCCCGTGTGTGACTGTGCGTGTGCGTGTGTATGTGGGGGGGGGGGGAAGAGGGGGAGAGAGAGCGCTGTTTACCTCTGGCGATTGTAGTTGTGGAAGGTCCAAGAAGCCTGAGGATCGTGAGAGGATCTGAGGATTCTGAGCTTGGTGGGTAAAAGCTGGATGAGAATTTGGCATCAGAAGTTGCTGAATATGCGGCCGAAGGAGAAGGAGAAGCAGGGTATGATGCTTGGTGCATTGCGGCAGTGGTGATGATGATGGCGGTTGTGTTGGTTGTAGTGGTGGTTATCAAGGACCTATCTTGGAAGGTCCAATTCCACCCCTATCCTCCGGGGAATGGGGGGGGAGAAGAGGAAATGAATCCGGGTTCCGCCATTGCCAAAAGGCCCTACTTTGCCCACAGTTTTTGTCGCGTCCTCAAGGACGATGACTTTGGTTCCCCTAATGGGGGACAGTGTGCCGGGGCGTCTTCATGGATGCTTGTCTATTTTCCAGTTAGCCGACAAGCAGGTTTATATATGTTACATTTGTACCTATTTTTCTTGTTATACACAGGGAGCTTGGGGACGATGATGGTGTTTTGTGTGGTTTGCGATCCTCTCTGGTCAAGTTGCTCTCAAGAAAGGAAGCGTATGTCGCGGTGGTGTGCTTTGAGAAATATGGACAGGGAAGTGTGTAAGGACAGTAACTTGGTTTATGGGTAACGTAGGGTCCCCGTCTGCGGTGTGTGCCTTTGGGACCTTGGGCCCGGGCTGGGGTTGGGGCTTCCCCGACATGTTACATGCGGATGTGTGTTTAGGCGTGTATGTGTGCAACTGTATGTGCGTCTGTTTATATGCTTTCATGTGCATCTCCGTGTGTTGGCGTTCCTTTCATAATTTTGCCGCTGTTTAGTTTCGCCGTGATGTGCTTGTTATTGCACAGCCATATCGCGACAGCCACACTTCAGGAAATAATAGGTATCCTAATTAGGTGTATGCGGTCAATGCGAGATGTCCTGTTCAGGCTACGTATGTTGTTGCCCTCCTGAAGCAGGTCGGAAGTGGACTGGTCATATCCAGTCTCGCCTCTTTATCTTTCTATCTTCCTTTCTTTTTCCTTTCCCAATTTTGGCGGACGATGATGCCCATGATGCTACATAAATGCAGCTCCGGCTAAGTCGCATATATATACACATCAGCAAAATGTACCTTTTGTTGTTCTGTCTAACCTCGTCGTAACCTGAGTTACAACGTGCAAAAGGTACACAAAAGAAATACAACCTCTGTTTTCCGTTCATGAAGTATTTTTGCCTCACAAGCCGCAACCGCGGCGTTGGCGTGTGTGTATGTGTGTATGTTTGTGCGTCTGTATCTCTTTGGAAGGGGTCGAGAGGCTGCGCAGAACATATCGTAAGGAAAACGTCATATCTATAAGAGCTTGTGTAGACGTGTCCGTCTTGGTGTGAGCGTGCGTATGTATGTATGTTAGTCTGCGTGACCTGATGGTTTCAGCGCTGGGGTCTTTCGCGTTGTACGGCAGGAGCCGGGTGATGGCGGCTGAGTGATCTCTGGACTCCTTCTGAATGCAAGGCAGGAAAAAATAGCGCGACAGGCGCTTTTCCAGGAGATATAAGGAGATGGGGGTGACTGTGTATATGTGTGTCTGTATGTGAAGAAGTTTTGTCTGGGTTACCTGAAGCGATGACTGGTTGACGGGAAGGAAGCTCACCCAGTTCAACTTGGCACCGCACCGCCAAGCACAACACTGCTGAGCCTTCCAAACTCCAAAAACCAGCCGTCTGCTCCAAATCTACTTGTATTATATTTTGACGATCTCGATTACCTGATCGGGATTGTATGGCACGTGTCCTACCGAATCCGCTGGTTTGGGCTACGGTGGCCTGTTTTATGCCGGTCTCGCTTGATGGTGGGTGCAAAGGTAGCGCGGGGTCGTTCGGGCGCTAAAGTGCAGGAGCTTTTGGGATTTCAAGGAGGCCATTGGGAGAGTGTCGCGCGCGCGAGTAGAGTGCGTGGAGAAGAGGTGACATTGTGAGAGGCGAAACAAATGAGCTTGTGGTGTTGCATCCTTTCGGGTGCGCGAGTGCCTGTCCTAAGCAGGCATCACGAGCAGCTGGCACTGCTTTGCGGTAATATCTCCTAACTCATGGCGCCCGGGAAGGCCGATTTCATTTTTGATAATTACCTTTGTTTTGTTAATTTACCTTTTGTTTTCCGCTTATTGAAGGGCGCCGCTGCGGTTGCGGCAATTTGGAACTGGCGTAGGTTAATGTGTACAGCGGAAAAGCAAACCTTAGCATCAACAGAAGAAGAACTTGATGCCGTTTTCCGTGCCCGTGCATGAGGGTGTGTTCGGTCAAGATAGACAAGGGCTGGGTTTGGTTGGTCTCCGTTGTGGGGGAGAAAAAATGTGTTATCGATGTACTGTTGTTTGGGAGGAGGAAGATTGGCGCAAGATTGGCGCAAGGGACGACGCGCGCTAGGGACTCTCCTCCATGATATCTTCCGTGCTGAGCTTTGATGTGGCCGGTCTTATGGGTGATCAGTCAGGCGGTGCGTGTGCATGGACTTCAGGTAGTGCATGCATCTGACTAGCTCCCTGGGGTTTGTCCTGTTTTCTCGCGTGCTCACTTCCTCCTTTTTCTGGTCGACATTGCTGGTATATGTAACTGATAAAAGCTATCTCCGTCGGCCACTTGTTCAGAGGTCAGGTCAAGGAGCGCTTAATCGCGCTCAGCCAGGCTCAGCCAGGTGTTGAACAGTCACCTGGCGCGGAGGCAAATGGAACTAAATAAGAGTACCACTCGCATCCATTCTGTTCTCACCATTCGACTGCAGCACGCATGTTATTAATGTTTGCCTATATGCACGAGGTAATACTAGCACACTTGGGTATAGGCGTCCACGAGTTCATGGGAGTCTTGACAGTTGTATTGTACGGTGTCCGTTAAGGGAATCCAAGGGACACGATGAGAGGTGGGGACGATTGCCTAGACTCCGTATCCTTCTCATGAACAGTGCATGCGTACTCCATCTTTGCCTTCGAAAAGTGCACTTGGAGCAAAAGTTGACTTGAAGGCCGTGTTCGACTAGCTGCCTTCTAGAAGGGAATTGTCTTGCGAGCTGATATGGCGGAAGGATCACCTGAAGCGTTCAAGGAACCTGATATTACTGTCGACTCGAAGAAGCTAGCAGTGAGTCGAGGTTTGGCAATGCCTGACCAAGTTCAAGGGACTCTTTTCCAATGAATTCAGAGGCCAGTATAAACAACAGCGTAATTATTAATCGAAGAACACATCTGGATGTAGGAGCTCAATGAGCAGAAGGACGCGCTTCTTTCGAAGGTTGCCACGCTGAAGAAGGAGTTACAGGACTGGCGGACAAAGCTTGACACGCAAGTTAAAACGTACAGAGCGGTAAGGGTGACGCACCGAAGTCAGCCAGTATTGGCAGGGGCGATTACTACCCGCCCGCGAAATTTCCCTGCCTGCAGGAAGTGGGCGACCTGCGGAAGACGCTGAACACGGAGGTAGAAGGGCTTCGGGCAGAGTTTATGGAATTGAAAACTGCGCTCAAACAGCAGCTTGAGCTAACGGCCGGCCTGGCAGCTCAGGTATGAAGGATAGCGGTATACGTACTCCCGAGTGTTGGGTTGACGTAAAGCTGTACGCCTGTTCGCGTTCGCATCGTGACATGCCAGGGGTTTCTGGTCCCACAGAGCGACGGTGTCACCTCTCTCTGTCTCTCACGGCCCACATGCAGGAGGTCAACGATGCCGAGGCTCGCCTTGCGCACCTCCAGGCCCAGGACTAAAACATTTCGGCGGACTAAGCCTTGGCATGGTTGCACGGAGATGGTGGGAGCCTTTCGGGGCGATGGACGCATGCTTAACACCGGAGCCTTAATGGATCTTTGGGACATGGAAAAAGTAGCGGTTTTATGGCGTTGCCGCACGCGCCGAAATGCTAGGGAATGACCCTTTTTGGTCCATCCCCTCTCCATTCGCATGCTTGGACCCACGCCTAGCTTTAGTGGCATGCTGCAACCCATGTCTTCGTTCCTTGTGCGTGCGCGTAGGCATGCGAAATCCGGCATGTCCGTATGTTCCCATCAATGTGGGCCGTTCTGTTTCATTTGCACGATTTCCAAGGTGATTTCTTGCCAGGGCATGTGGGCCCTTGGGGTCACTCTTGGGTGCGGGCGCAGTAGGGGTCCTGTTCATTTGCATTTGATTCAATATGCTTAGCGGGGTCGATGAGTCCAGACGGCTCCAGAATGCTTTAGCAGCGCAGGTTTTCTGAGCGTGCGCGTGTGGGAGAAGTTGGGAAGGCTGTGGAAAGGGGATGTGGGGAGGTTGCTCCGGAGCTGCGAAGTTTTGCAATCTTAGTGGATTTTGTGCTAGCCGTGCGGGCTAAGGCCGCGTTGGGGTTGGGGATGTTCCCTTCGGATGGCGACCAAGCAAAGGACTTGCAAGGCAGGACTCAAGTCTGTCTAGTTCCTGGACACCCGTGTACAAGAACAAGTGATGAGTCAGTTATTTACATGCGATCAAAATGTGCGCTTCAGGACGTACGGGTAGGCATGTGGTGGCTGGGTGGACGTGTGGCGTATGTCATGGACCTACCTTTTACCTTGCGCTGGTCGCTGTATTCCCTGTACAATCTTGCTTGGACGAAAGATACAAAAGTTCTGTAGAAGCCCATAGTTCAGGATTCCTTAGCTAAATTATTTTGTAACCAGTCCTTCTGAGTAACCTTCTTAATTCCACGGTTATGCGATAGAATAGCCTGCATTCTTAACCATGTTGCATCGATCTATAGTGCGTAGCAATCGGGCAAATGCTGTAGTTAATGGGCATTCGGTCGGTCGAGGAGTTCGACTCGAGATTGCTTGCCGCGCAGCAGGCTCCGCTGCCGGCAACACAGGGCCTAGCTCGCGCTCTGGTTACTCTTCTTCGACACGCAATGGACGCAGTTCAAACAGCGGCGACCAGGCAGCATCTTCCATGAGTTCCGCGACTTCCAGCGGCGATCAAAGCCAGCGAGTTGAACAGCTGCGTGAACTTGTTCAAGAAACCATTCGTCTCAGCGTGTCCACGGGGCCCCGCGGCCTCTTCCGCGCAGTTCAAGCAGCCCAGTCAATCGCTGCCCTCGCGGCGGAGTACCTGGCCAAGGGCAATGTCGACCCGCTGCCGGTTTTCCTTCGCAAGCTATTTGAAAAGCTGGGTGAGCGCGACCTTGATTTCGTCTCAGACAAAGGCCACCTCGTTGCCCGGGCTTCCTGTTCCTGCGTACTTTACTTCCCCCTATTCCCGACCATCACGCGTCCCCTCCACCTCTTAATCAGCATCTCTCCGGGTTCAGGCAACAGACCGGGTCATTGTTTTTCTTCTGGGGAAACCATTGCATTTGAAGCGCTTACAGTATAACAGCATGTCGCAGCGCGTATGCGTGTGCATGTGCGTGTGTTGTTGGGGAGTGGGGAAACGCCGGAAGGTCCTGGAGGCGTGAGGGAGGTGGACCACCTCTCCTCCATCCGAATAAAAAAAGAGCTATAGAAAGCTATAGTCCTCCACATCCCCACGGGAAGAGGACAGACCCTGACAGCCGTTCAATCTACTGCGCGTCATGCCATGTAACATCTCCTATGTACGGGGGCCACCAGTTCCCCCCAACCCCACTGACCTCATGACTGCCGTCGCACTACACCACCCATACACATACACATGCACACACGTACACACGCACACATACATACATACACACACGTTCATGCAGGTGCCACGTACATCAAGTTGGGCCAGTTCATCGCCTCCTCCCCCTCACTCTTCCCGGACGAGTACGTCCTGGAGTTCCAAAAATGTCTGGACAAGACTGATCCCGTGCCGTACAGCGTAGTTGAGCGCATCATCGAGCAGGTACGGCAACATCGTACGTGGCTCGTACACATGGATCGCAAGTCGCTCCAGGTTGTCTTACCTTTAAAATTCTTTCTCTCTCTCGCACACACACGCACACACATGTATGTGCTGCCTGCCTGCCTGCCTGCCTTTTACCTCGGCCCCCGGCGCTTGCTCTCTTAGTCCGCGTCATTACCACTAGCATCACTAGCATCAGCATATTATAATTGTCATCCGCTCATCTCTTTCACCCTTTAAATAACGGAACAGAACAGCTCCTCCCCGGTGTATTGAGGCCGACAAGCTGAGCTTCGACCGCTTGAAACGTCCATATGTTGATTTCACCCTCCGCGTGCTGGTTGGTCTGCTGCATCATTGTTTTCTTTTCTTTACCTGAAGTTCCCCTGCACCTCTGCACCTCTGCACCTCGCTGCTGTTTTCCCCGCCTTCCGGAACCCACTCGCGCAGTGAACTCACCTCACCTCACCTTCCCTCACCTCACCTCCCCTCAACTGAACCATCTTGTTTTTACCTTCAGGTCGCTCCTTCACCCTCTCACCCTCCCTCCCCCCCTGCCCTCCCTCCCTCCCTCCCGCCCGCCCGCCCTCCCTCCCTCCCTCCCTCCCTCCCCCCCTCCCTCCCTCCCTCCCCCCTGCCCTCTTGGCGCCCTCCTTCCTTTCTAATTAACACACAACACAGCAGCCACCGCAACCACCGCAACAAGTCCTCCGGCAGTTGGCTTTTCGTTGTTGCACCTGATAATCTTCCCCCTTATACATACATATATACATACATACATATGTACATACATACACACACAAACCCTCTGTCCCCGGCCCGCATTGCATTGGACGTTGGCGGTTAAGACAAATCAGTTGGGCGTTTCCTGGATTGGTTTGGACTGTTTTGCATACAGACATTTCCGCAAGGTGGTTTATGGGACAAAGCTCCGGAACCCCCGCCCGCCTTTTTCCCGCTCCATTTTCCCGCGGGACCGCCCCTTTTCCTGCCGTACACAGGAGCTTCGGCAGCCCTGGTCCAATGTGTTTTCCTCCATCGACCCAACCCCCCTGGCAAGTGCCTCGGTGGCGCAAGTACATGCTGCCGTACTACGTGATTCCAATAAACAGGTACGGCAGGGAAGGCGGGTCCCAGACACCTTCAAACCCAAACCCGCCTCCGAGACCAATTTGAGCTTTTATCGCCATTGACATTCCCCCGCTGTGTATTTTCCCGCCTTCTTCCTATTCCCCAATGGCTGCTGCCAATCTCGACCGGCCCCGGCCCCCGACCCACGCCCAAAACGCAGAGAGGCACACACACGCAAACACACACACACGCATACACACACCCAAACACACACACACACACACACACACGCGCGCAAACACACACACACACACACATACACTCGCAAACAAACACACACACACACGCAAACACACACTACGGAAGAGGCGCACACGTCGCTAGATTACGGAGCTCGCACCGCTACCCACATTATTCGTGCACACACTTCGGCACTTTGTTATCGTATCGCGGCTCAGATTAATCAAAAGACACACACACACCCACACGCACTAACCCCCCCCACACATACACACGGCTTCCCCCCCCCCCCCCGGCCCCCAACAGGTCGTCATCAAGGTCCTCAAGCCGGGTGTTGAGGACGTGCTAACTGCAGACATGTCCTTCGTGTACCTGATGTCGCGTTATTTGGAGTTCGTACAGCCCGAGCTGGGGCGACTGAGCCTGACCGGGGTGCTAGAGGACATGCGGAGCAGCATGTTGGCGGAGGTGGACTTCACGCAGGTGGGCGGGGGGGGAGGTCGGGGGGGTAGGGGGGTAGGGTTATAAAGGGGCTGGGGGGGAGGGTTTTGAAAGAGTTGAGGGGGGTTTAGCGGGGGGGGGTGATGTTATGTGCGGGAAGAACCGGCGACCTGGTCACACCTGGTCGTACAATTGGCACAGCGGTTGAAGGCCATTTGGGCAGGGGGCCCG